TGCTGTCTGCTGCCCCAGTAATATATGCCCTCAGTCCTCATGCTGGTGCTGGGCACCTGTGTTTAATTCAATTTTTTTTTCTCTTTAGGTACCTACCTTTCATCATCACTTATTGCAAATCTAATCCAGTCCAGGATATTTCAAAATAATTTCTCATGGAAATATTTGAAATACATTACACAACTAGATGTAAGGAAGGGCCATGAGTACTAACAGTATAATGAGATCAACATCTTTCACTTCCTTTTTATAAAATACTATATTTTGCTTGTGAGATCTTGTTCCATAGCTAAAGTTCTGTTTTTACTAATGACCTGTCATCAGATGATGAACATCTGATCTTCTCTTGCTGTGGGATCTCTAAGATGGTGTGTCTGGATTGGCTGATTCAAAAATACCAGAGTAAACTCCCCTTCCAAATCCCTTCCTTAGGAGAGGAAGTAAAAAAAAAAAAAAGTTTTGAAATTTAAATATATCTATATATTTGTATGTAACAGTTTTATTTCAATAGTGCTTAGAAAGTCTTCTGGCATTTTGAAAATTGGCCAGTGCCAATGAACTTCATCTCCACACAGAGCAGCCATGAGCAGCCATAACACCAATGGTCAGGCCATGGAGCAGCTGCTGCTGCTGACACCAGTTCCACCCTGAAGTTCAGTGCTGGGCTCCCTGCTAGACCCACCTGGCTGATTTTTTAGGCTGTACCTTAAACTCTGGAGCAGGTTTAAGGGCAGTGGTGTACTAAATGGAAATACGATACCATATTGTCTTTAAAAAGAAACAGCAAATAGTGTTAATGTATTGGATTTTTAAAAATTAAATCTGTGTTGAGAGCTACTGACATGACATAAGCTGCTCCTTCATTAGGTAAACAACACTTTTTTTACAACCTCAAAGTCAATAGATCTTGAGAGTGATAAATAACTTTTGGCAGAGAAGTTGCAATCATTGGCTATATTTTTGCCTTATTAGTGTAAAAAAGATAGGTTATCTATAAGAAAAATGGTCACCCATAAGAGACGTGACCAATACCTTAGGAAGTGATTCAAAAAGATCAAAGCATAGGAACAGATAATTCAAAATTGTGGAAAAGAAGTAAATATGACCCTCACAGATGGAAATTCTTAGAGACTGAGGGGCCACCAAACAGAGAGATATTTCTAAGGCATGCCTGACCTGGTGAGGAAGGTGGATGAAGTAAAAGATGTTAGTGCTGAATGAAAGATGAACTGGTGTGGAGGAGCTCAGTCAGGTGCTTCGCTTTTTGTTTTTTCTCATTATAAAAGTACAAAGAGATATTGAAATTAAAGGCAACAAATTTAAAACAGAGAAACACATTTTCATGCAACATTTATTTAATATATAGAAGTGGCCAAGGCAGGACAGTGCTGTTGCCAATAGCCTAATTTAGGTAATAAAAAAGATGAGACACACATGAAAAGAAGTTGTTACACAAGTCAGGAAAAAATTACATTATATGAGCAATTAACAAGGCTTCAAGGGAGAAACAATGATAATCTGGTGGGTGTTGGAACTGAGCTTTGAGTTTTAAAGAGGCAAACCTTCTCTTAAAATCAGTAGAATTTGCTCTAATTAAAGCCTGTATGATTGGCCTCATTGTCCCACCCTGTCCACAGGATGACATAATTACAAAAAAGGGTATATTTAAATAAATGTTGCTTGGTGCCTAAACACAGAGTTTGGTTTTAATCTGTCTCTTTTAATCTGTCTTTTCTGTCTCTTTCCTTAGGAAAACTTTTTTTTTTAAGTCAGCTAATGTGCGGCTTGACATGATGGAGTTGTCCTGCTCTGTGATGTTTCAGCTAATTTACACTCATAGCTTCAGAACAGTTTTGGCAAGGAACTGTTTATAAAGTCTAGAGTTGATTCCTGCTACTAGATGAGGCTTCCTGCAGGAATGCAAAACCACAGGATTTGTGTGGGAGATCGAGAGTATTTATTAGCATATTTTTGCTCCTGTGCAGCACAAGCTCTGTCATGTTGATATGGTACCAGCATTTTAATTAAAAAATTCTGGAGTGGAGACTTGTAGCAATTATATGCTCTGGTATTATCCTTTTATTAATATAAAAAATGCATTTATAATTATCTGATGCAAAATACAGTGAAATTACATGGAATGAATATAGACCTGCCTGCCTGCAATATGTTATTACTAGCTAGTGTTAAAAAATTATTTTGAAAGGAAAGCTGCAAAATTCCATTTTTTCTCAATATAACTGGAACAAACCATTAAATCAAAAAGATTGTCTCTTATTATCTCAGATCTCCCTTATAATATCCTGCCTAATGTTTAAAACATAAATCCTTCATATGGTAGAGTATTTTTGAAGTTAAATTTAGAACTTGAAAGATTTTAAGCATTTTCTCATAAAGATAATTCTGGCTGTTTTGTATGTTTTGTCAGTATCAATTCAGCTTTCTTCCTTTAAAAAGACTTTTCAGGACCTCATTTTGCATATACTCACAAAATGAACAGATATGAATGTTGTTTGTTTTGCTTGTGTGTGAATATATCTCAAAGATAAAATTGTCACCACTGGATTTTCTATGTCTGTAAAACAAGAAGTCTCACATTTGACAGGCTGTTTACTTGGATTCTTCTCCCAGCTCAGTCAAGTCCTGAAGTCTTTATTATCCTGATATTGTCTGGCAGCTCAGAGGCTATGGAACAAATTATTGTGATAAATGTCAATAGTTAATTTAACTTCGATTAAAATTTTCTCTGTCATAAACCTTAAATTAAAGACTAATGGCCACTCTTTTATTATTTGCCATGGCAGTAAAACCAGAATTACATCTGGCTTTGGCTCAAAGGGAAGATGTGATGAGACTCAAAAACTTGTTACAGAAATATAAGGGCAGAGCATGATGGCCTCCTGCCTTTGGTGATTACCTGATGCTATGCCCAAACTTGAATTCCTATTGGAATCCCTTAACTCTTAGTGGAATTTTATCTCATTCACTGACGCTGGAGTGGAATCAGTTTTTAAGATAATTATTATCCATTGCCTTTGTGCAGTACCTCTGTTTGGAAGAGCTATATCTTCAAGCTCCTTCCCTCTTTAAAGAAAATGTGTTCTAAAGGGGCAGTCCACAAAAACTGTAGGACAGGGACTAGAATGCTTGTGTGGAGGAAAGAAATCCATTAAAAACCCCTCAAAAACCTAAATTAAGGGAGCATGAGGAGATGGACAAGGAACATATTTTTCATTGGTACCTCTGATTTTGAACCCCCTAGTAGCTATAGTAAATTTGGAGTTTCTAAGAGAATGGGAAGTGCTTTTCTGAGTTTAATAGGTAATGTATGAAATACTAATGTTATCTGGTTTTATTATTTGCCACTTGGAAAATGTGAGTCTAAGTATATGAGAAAGGCATTTCTGAAAAGAAATGCTTATTTTTCACTAGTTTCCCTCACAGTAAGGTACTGTGGAAAAGTCTTAAGTCCATGATTCAGCCTGATCATGAAGCATGATTACAGGGCTCTTCCCTTGATTGGGAAAGTGCTACATGCTACTAGGAATGCAGGCATATAAAGATGGTTATTCAGTGATCATTTGTCACGCTGATGAATTAAAGGACAAAGTGGCTAGTGGAAGCAATGCAAGTGGTTCTCTGTCATCTTTTGATTAGGTCATTAGGTTGGAGATGAAGCATCTTGTAATTAAGTTCATGGAAAGTTACATTCACTTACTGTTAATTGCTGACAGATGAAGATACTCTTGTTAGCAATTAACTGTCATATGAAAGGAAATTTAAAGTCATATGTTTGAAGTTCTTTATTTTTCTAACATGAAAGTTATTTTAGGATTTTTAAAATTTGTTATTAAAGGTTTCAGGTTGTCTTAAGATCTCACCAGTTATTTTGTGGGTTTTTTTTCTGCCTATCTTGATAAATAAATATTAGGCATAAATGAACATGCTGTGCATAATACATTTACATGTTTAATGTCTAACTTCACTAAAAACTCTCCAGCCAGAATCTCATCAGTAGAGTTGCTTTAGTTTTGGAAAGTTAATGTTCTGAAATTTATAACCTGTGTAGCCCCTGTGTCACACAGCTGAACTCATCTGAAACTGGTAACCTAGTCAGCTGTCTGGGGTTGTGATTTCCTTTTTTGTATTGGCATACAGGAAGAATTCTTACAAGGTAGAAAAAAATATCAGTGGATTCAATCATATTTTTTCTCGGTTTTTTTTAAAAATTTTTAAATGCAGCATTATGGCAGTATTCAACTTTTCAGGATGCTTTGAATGTTTGATCTGAAAATGAGAAAAACTTATAGGCTTTGGAATAAAAGTAACTGATACTGGAAGGGAAATGAAAAATACTGCAGAAATTTTGTTACATATTTTAATATTGTGGATGAAATATATATGTGAGTTATAAGTAGGATTACAGCTATGTTAGGATTTGAGTCTTTCATTTCCAATGTATCAATTCTTTCTTCTTTTGAAATGTACAGAGAAAGTGCTAAGGTAGCCACCTTCCTCCACAATCTATTATTTGAAAATAGGCAATTAGGAGAGCAAATAATTTAATGTTAGTTGACAGATCATTAGCCTGTAAGACAAAAAGTAAGAAAAGAGAGGAGCCTAAGAAAGCAGTAATTATATTTGCAGTTGAGGGGAAAAAAAATCTTAATTGTGAAGCATGGTAATAGCCACAGGTTAGGCACAAGAAAGCAGAAAATTGCTAGTACACAGAAAATTAGGACTGTACCTCTTTGCTGGCACTGAATCCACCTGAATCTGAACATTAATTGGCACTTGTAGGCTGATCTCTGTACTATTCCTTCATGACCTGGAGCTGTCCTGGGGGATGGTACTGCTGAGTACCTGGGTGAATGACAGCTGTGATGGGCACATTTGGGCCTCGTTTCCCAGAGGGCTGGGTCTTCATTAGGATGGGCTTTGAATGGAGGAAAATACTCTCTGCTCCTGGTAAAGATAAAATAGCTGGACTGTTTCATATGCTAAAATTGGGTTTATATGTCCTTCCATTTCAGGAGAGAGGAGCTGGGGGCATGTGTTGCAATGAGCAGCTACAGACTGGAGCCTGATATTGAAATGGGAATTTCACGAGACTGAAACAGTAAGCTGGACAGCCCCACGAGTAGCTTTTTAAAATAGATATTTTCTTTTAAAGAGTGATTTAGGGTGGGTTGTTACTTCATCCCAAACCTACATTCAAACTTCTTGGCTTTCTGGATCATGTAATTTATGGTATGAGGCAAATCTTATTACAGATCTTTCATAATGAAGGAGAGGTATAAGAAACACTTAGCCTACATTGAAAACTGCTGCCAGATCTGTGTGTGGTGATATAGTCACCACCTGTGAGCAAAACATTCCAGTAGGGAACAGCAGTACCAGCAATGGGAGAGGGATGTCCTAGGACAGGGTAGAACACATTTACAGAAAGAAAGGGGTTATATATATATATATATAAATTTTTTTTTAAAGGAATTATAATGAGTTAACAGCAAAGACTGGTCTGGAACTAAGTTTTCACTCTAGGCAAATCAGTAAAATGTGTTCTACTGTTAATTTTAGATGAGTTAATGGAGGGTATGATAAATCCCCAGATAAACAGTCACTACCTGAAATGCGATTCACTAAGTAATACATTGGGGTTTTGGATGGCTGTTTAATTATAATTAGATATATTATAATTTTTCAAAGTATTTTTTCCACTTTTAATTTTTTTTAAAGAAAAAGCAAAGAACTTTTTAATTAAATTAAAATTGAAGAAAAGTCTGTTGTTCTCTTTTCAATGTTCTTTCAGAATGCTTACCTTTTGTTACATTTTCTTCTCTTCTCTCCCAATACTAAAAGTTTTCTTTAATTAATTTCCATTTCTTCATGGCAAATTATTAGGAAGTAGAATCTGTAGTGGAGATTAAAGCAAATGTGAAGTTTTCTGTATTCCCTGAGAAACCTGGGTTCTGAATAGCTTTGAATAACATGCAGTTCTTGAATATTATCTAATTATGTGCTGGGGTTTTTTTTAAACAAATTCCTAGGAGAATAAAATAAATGCTCTCTTTCATTATAGTTGAAAGTCCCCATTTTGCAAAGACATATGCATAGCAGTTTAGTAGCTGCTCAAAATTTATGAACTATATATTTTTCTCTGTTTGAAGTACATTTTTGGAGAGGCAATTTAAGAAATCTTTTAGATTGCCGGTGAGATATCTAGTCCTATAAAGTTATTCTATAGGACACAGTACAGTACAAATCTTAAAAATTATAGTACACATCCTTCATTTAAAAAAAAAGGGTATTGAATTTCAATGACATGCTTAGATGACTTTGAATTGAAAAATGGAGGAAAATAATAAACAGATTTATGGAAAAAAGACATCTTCTCTGCAGGAGAATGAATGAAACAAACTTGATTAAATTTTGGAGCGAGTCTGTCCCTCTAAAATCTGAATATATTGTAAATATAATACAGCATTTGTAAAAAAAAAAAAAAAAAGGATCTTGTCAGTCAAATGACAGCTGACAAAGCTAGGAGCTCTCAGCAACAGTATTCCATCTAGTTATTCTGATTTTTTTCACTTTGTTTTATCTTCTTTTTGTATACCTTTATGATTGCTGGAATCTGGGACTTCTCTGATACAAATATGTGATTCTCCTGATCTGTTTTACAGCCCCTTCAATTTTCTGTTCTGTGTCTATCCATTGATTCTAACTTTAAAGTCCAGGAGAATATGGGGTAGCAGATATAGGTATATCCCTCTTGTCAGAGGAATGATGCATTGCTGTATAGTAATTGACATTTTTAAAGACTGTTGTCCTTGCATATTTCACAAACTGCTTTCCCTCACTAATACAGGAAAGCAGAGTAGAGGAGTGAACTTATAACTGATTTCGGAGGAAATAAGATAATCTAAATACTTAGATAAAACAAAAATTTCCCTTAGAATTTAATTTGAAATCAAAGTTTTCAAACACAACTACCTTGGCTTATGCTGTTTCTTGCTGAAGTGCTGTTTCTGGGCACATGTACAAACATATTAATGCACACAAAAATAGCATAAAAAGTCAAATGCATCAAGTTCAATTTTTATGTGGTTCTGTTGGCCAGATTTTCTTTATTATTTTGCATTTTCTCAGCTACCAAGTACAGGTTCTGAGAATTTCAGAAGTTCAGGGTACCCTACAGGTATGAACTGTAGCCACAAAATGGAATTAGGTTGGGATAGCTGAAATCTTCTAGTGAGTGCAGATGAACAGGGCTGCTCTGTACTTTTTAGTTTCAGTTAAGGACAATCAAAGCTTCTTTGCCTGTTAATTTGTGAGCTATAGAATTGGCTTTTTTTTTTTTTTACAAAGTTTTAAAAATTTTTAAATTTACCAGTATTGTCTAGTAAATCAGACAACACTGAAGAAATACTATGTCAGCACTGAAACTTTCTGAGCTAATCTAAATGATGACTTTTAATCAGTATTTTTGTATTCATAAAACAAGTATTTCAGGCCATGGAGATTTATTCTTTGTGCAGCAATGAGCCCAATAGTTCATGCTTGACTTGAGAGGTGTTGAATGGTACTAAAATTTGTTGTGGCTGGTTCTGACTTGCTTGTGCCAAACTCTCTTAAGGATGCAATTCTCTTCAGTTCTCCAGATTTTTCTCTGTCATACAGAATAAGCAATTTCTTATTCTAATTTAATTTTTCTTATTCTAATTTAAACATAGATTCATGTAAGAACTTTAAAAACTGTAAGCTAATTAATGCTTATTGTGAATGTCATTCATAATGATATTTTGTGTTAAAAGTAGCTTCCACCAGTGGTTTCTCTCCATCACGTCAGAGAATAGTATGAGCTGTTAATTAGTGTCAACATTTCATCAGAAACTTTTGCTGTTTTCTGGAAGCCCTGACTTCTGGAGGGAAGACCCTATTTTTTATTAGAAAAATAGAAGCATATGTTTTAGATCTTTTGGTTCATCTCTTTTGCATGGAAAAGCCTGAAAATATCTTCCTCCCTAGTGCTTAGATAATACAATGAAAAGGGATCTATCAGAAGAAAAAAAAAAGTTTTTAAAAGACATTTGAGGAAAGGGATTGTTTCAGGAGAAGTAAACTTTGACTAATGAATTTATAAGGCCAGGAATTGACAGGACTGTCTTTCTGCTAGAACTGAACTTGTGCAACTGGAGGCACAGAAATGACTGCTCCCTTTTATCTTGCTTGTGTCAGCTAACAATTTAATCTCCTCTGTTTGCTGTGCAGGTCAGATGCTTTTCTTGGTCAGTGGATTACAGGAACAAAAGCTCCTGTGCTTGTGAGACAATTACTCTCATCTTCCCACTGTGTGTTATAAATTGAGATAATCTTTCAGATATTAAATAGATGCATTTAGATTCTGAATAATTTGGTGCTCAGCAGTGTGCTCTTCTGATCACTCAGTTATGAGTCCACCTTTCATTTGGAGATCACCTTAACAAAAGAAGGTGTCATGCAGACAATAATCTGGTGCTCCTCTTTAATCATTCACTTATGCAAAGTTTCTGTATCTGCTTTTCAAAGAAAATTCAGGATGTGAGGTTGGCAGGAGTCCCAGCTGATTCATGGTGGTTATTGTGTAAAACAGTCTCGAGCAAAGCCATGGACTCTTCTGATTCTTTTGTCTTTTATATCAGTGTGTAAATCTTGGGCAGGTGTGCATGAGACTGGGAGAGATGGGATCTGGATATTTAAGGCTGGGTTGGATGGGGCTCTGAGCAAACTGGTCTAGTTGAAGGTGTTGGAAAGACGTGGTCTTCAAGGTCCTCTTCCAACTTGAACTATTCTAGGATTCTATGGTGTGCTTCACTGTAGTCCAGCTGTTGGCTTAATACTAACAGATGTGTGCTGGGGTGCTAGATGAGGCTGTTCTTGGCCTCTGTTTCCTTTGCAAAGAGCCTGAAGGGCTGCTGTCATACCCTTCCCCAGCTGCCCTTCCTACTCTCTGGTCCCCAGGGAGTGCAGAACAGCTGCTGACACTGACTTGCACACATATGGGCTGGTGAAGGAGTGCAGGCCTCCTTTGTACCCTCTCACCTTCTTTGCTGGCTTAGGTGCTTTAAAGGTAGGTCCATCAGTATTCATTCACTGGCCTGTCCTTTCTGCATCCCTTTATTTGGCTTTTTTAAGGATATTAGCTTGTGTGAGAAGAGAAAATGGACAACTGGCCCCATTAGAATCACTGCATAAACTGGCACTGTATCATTTTCTTGTTTGTGTCCAGCTAAACTTTGATTTCTGTCAGTTTTATTATTCAAATGGTGTGAATAAAATCTGGCAGTGTAACAGAACATTCAAGACACAAACAGTGTCCTTTAACACCTGCCTGAATTCACTCATTCATTAAATAAGCCATCCTCTGCTGTGCAGACTGACTCAGCTCTGGAGCCCTTCACATGGGGAAAAGCTTATCCACAGTAGAGGGGATGTCATGGCCCATCAAAAGCCCCCCACAGGGGATCCCTGTATCTCCAGCACCCATTCATTGTGGTAGCCCCGGGGCCAGGGAGGATGGGGAGTGGAGGGGGACAGCTGCCACACCTGGGCACAAAACAAAACAGATCAAATCCCAATATTGTAGAAACAGGCAATCCCCCAGCTGGGGAATAATGTGCATTGACTCCCATGATTTCAGAAAGCTGAACAATTGCTTTATTAAGCTATACTATATTACACTAATACTATACTAAATTATATACTTAAGAGATACTATACTAAGCAATACTAAAGAAAACCCTGTGACTGTCTCCAGACAGTCACGACACACATGGATCTAATTGGTCAAGGAATCAAAACAACCTTCACCAGTGTCCAATTAGCAAATCACTTTGGGTAAACAATCTTCATAACACATTCCACAGTGAACAGGAGTAGTGGATAGAGATAAGAATTGTTTTCTCTTCTCTGAGCTTTTCACTGCCTTCCCCAGGAAAAGTCCTTGGGAAAGTTGTCCCTGGTGCTCTCTTTTGAGCTGTGGCCATACCTCAAAACTAGAATGGGATCATAAAACATCCCCAAGACACTTCTCTCTGCCTCTTTTGCTATTAAATAAAATAATTTTTTTTTTTTTTTGGCACAAGCATCTAACTTTCTTTGGTTTTAACCACATTTTTGGGTATATTTTGTACCTTCAAAATTCTTTCCATTTTATTTGCAGAGACCTAATTTTCTTTGCTCTTCTGGGTTTAAACCAGATCATAACAACATGTTTGTACAACCTCGGGTGCTCTATTGCTTGTCTCTCTGTGTGCTTTTGAGGGAGTCTTTGGGTCACAGGAAAACCACTTTTACTTACTCTCAGCTTGCCTCCCTCATTGCTTTGGATTTGTAACCCCAAGGTAGCTGGAGCTCATACATGCCAAGCCTAGCAAAATTCATTGTCTTTGTACCCTGGTTTGTTCTCATTGCTGTGGCTCTGATATAGAGATTAAATATCCGTATCGTTAAAAAGAAGCTCAGCTTTAGACAAAACTGTTCATTGTTCTTAAAGGATGATGGATTCATGTCCATAGGCTCCTTGGCTGGCACCATATCTTCCCTTCATCTTTTCTCCACAGATATTGCACTGTCACGAGAGGGAGTGCAGTAGGAACATCACTGGTTGAGAATGCTGAGTCCAGAAAATTTTGGGTTTGTGCCTTACCATACAGTGGATTTGTCTATGTATAAAATCAATGAGGTTCCAAAAGTCTTGGGATATTGCTAGAAATATTACTAGAAATGAATTGGTTTAAGTATGAACATCTCACCTGCCTCAGTTCTATAGTCCTTGTTCTTTTGAGGAAAATATTTGATATTTCAAAGAAGTAATACAAAATGCAGGAAAGCTTCTTTGGCATGTTGACATGGGGATCTTGCAGACAAAGCAACACAATTTATTTGTGCTTATTGTCATATTCATCTTAATTTTTTATCAGTTTTGGAGTGTTTGTATCCTTAAAGTAAATAGAATTACTTCTAATATGTTTAATTTTTTTTTAAAGTGTTGTGTTTTTTCTTCAGCTTTCATGCTCACACCTCAGACACACCACAAGGAAGAAACCTGGCTTGTTCTTCAATTATCAACAATTCATCATCAATTGCAGCAGGATGGGCTTCTGACCTAATGCATCTTTTGTGATAGCTCTTGATGAAGTAGGTAACAGCTATTTTTGGTAAGCCTCAGTTAAAGTCCATTAAGTCTTTATTTCAGTAGCCTGCAATGGAGATCAACTGAAATCACAAGATTGGGGTCAGAATTAGACAGAATATTAGAAAATGGAAACTTTTGTCCTCTCCCTCAGTACTACAGAGCTCACAGGGAAGGATACACTGCTGATGGTTCTTTTCCTACCGACATAATTCACCAAAGGCAGTTCTGAAATAACTTTGGTTTTGTACTTGGAGACAGTGATTGAAAGCCTCTTTGCAAGTATATATTTGTTAGGCAGGCAAAAGACACCTGAAACAGTTTTTTGTTTTGCAAGGGTAGGAGATAGGGTTGTTTAGCAATAAAGATTACCTTCGCACTCTTTCTGTCTTAGATGGCTGTAACTCATGGGAATTCATGAAGTTATTCCTGATTTACAGTTCTGTAAGAGAAGGGTCAGAGAATAGTTAACTTTAAAAAAATGGAATAGGTTTGCAATGTACTAATACCTGGCATTCCTAGAACCTTAAATTTATGTGTGTTTTGTAGGAAGGCATTTTCTTGGTCAGAATGCTGCTGATGGAATTAGTATTAGGAATCAGGAATCCACACCATTCAAATGGGAAACTTCCAAGTCTCTGCTGAAGTGCAGTTTTGTCTGGAAAATACATTTTTTCTTTTAGCCTGCACTGCTTAGGAGCTTTTGGATCTCCACTACCAAGGCTTCCACATCAGTGTTCAAAGAAAGGAAACCAAGAGCTACAGCTGACAGATGACCTAGACACAAAGTTATGTGCCAATATTGCTTATGAGAATGAAATTGTATTTCTTTTATATTTTGTTTTGTACAGGACTCAATTCTTTGTAGGTCTGGAAATGGTGGGATGTAGTCTTTTCTCAGCTACCACTGAAGTTGATCTTATCAGTGGACATGAGCTTCCTTCAGAAATCCTGCATGAATATTTTTGGTAGTAAATATGCATGTATCTCATGCAGCATCTATCTGTTAGACCAAAGACTGAATCAGGCTGGAAAAAGTGCGTGGGAATACTGCACGAGATGGGTGGCACCATATGCTGACCTGCCACTGCTTGTGCTGTTGCCACAGACAGGGAATCCTCTACTCCAGATCTGCCTGAGCAACATGGATCAGGTGGTCCGCTTTATTTTCTCATTTCCTTTTTCTCTTGTGCAATCTGTTTTGATTGCACAAGTTGGGGGCCCTTAAGGAAAGTCACCTGGCAAGATCATCAAAGCACTTACTTATGTTAATAACAAAGTAAGAACATAAGTAGATATGGTTTTTCTACCTCTGAAGGAAATACATAGGGTGCAGAAGCTACTGACCACTTGGAAGGATGCTTTTTTATTTTAAAATTATTTTTTTTTAGAAAATAATTTCTCTACCATCTGGTCATTTCTTGTGTGACCCCTGTAACCTGATGGTCGTCTTGGTGTGTTTTTCCTACATTACTGGTGCACTCACTGCTCTTCTCTTGCATTATTCATGGAAACCTTTTCCCTGTATGCTATCTTGTTAGTCAGCCATTGTTTTTACCTCCTGATCTCGGTTATACAGGAAGAAAATGTCAGTGGGCAAACTTGTATCTTGTTTGGTGCCCCTTCAAGAATGCTGCTGTTGTTTTGTGACTTGTTCTTTTCCTATCTGTGGTAATTTATAGCAGCTGCTGCCCTTGAAAGTGGAGAGCACAAAGGTGAGCATATAATTATGGCTAAAGGCAGATCCCTGAAATGTTAAGCTTTGGCACAGTGGTGTGGTTTGCATCAGAATTACAAACAAGTCTAGTCCATAATATAAGAGAAACAGTGGGAGCAGCATCTCATAGCCAATCAACTAACCAGCACAAATTTCTGCCTGATCCAAGAAGGGATTAGAGAAATGTAAACACAAAAGCTTTCTCTGGAGAAATGTTGGGGATGACAAGAAATTTTCTTGTGCCATTGCATCTAAGCATAGCTTGTTGAGATTTGCTTTTATTTTTTATAGGAAGAGGATGGCTACCTGATTCAACAGAGTTTCTTGAAAGATAGCTGTTAACCTGCTGGGAATTCCAGATCAGAATAATAATTGCAGAATTATCATAGCTCTGCTGGATGATGTTCCTTTCCTAATGCTTCTCCTGAGCTTTGTTTGAAGCCTTTTGTGAGTCTTTTTCTTAGATGGAAAAAGCAAAAGAAATATTTGTTTTGCTTTTCTAGAAATCCCTAGATAGAAGAAGGGTCATGGATACTGAATATTCTCTTTGGACATATTTTCACTCATTTACTCTTACCACTTTCCAAGTAAACACTTCATTATAATGACATTATTATTGAAAGTTCTGGCATGTGATCACTAGAAGTGGCAATAAATATTTGGATCTTAATACTGAGCTAGTCTAAAGGAAGACAGTGTTTCTTGTTGACTACAGTAAGTGATCTCAGACTTTTGATGTCTGCTCATCTTTCCAATGAAATCTGATGATCTTAGTGTAACTGAAATACCGAGAGTGTTTGGAAAGTGAGAATTAAAAGAGGAACTGAGTCATTTGATAGTACATGTGGTAGAGAAGGAAAAGAATAATATTGTAGGAAAACAACAGATACTGTCTTGTATAGACAGTATCACCAACATTTTAGAAGGACCTGACTTGTGCTTTTATTATATGTTATGATAAAATGTGGGCCCCTTAGTATTGGGCCCACATAAAAACAGAACAGGAACTCTTTAAGGAGCAGAATTTGAGTTCAATGTGCTCAGGTTTTTGTTATCTGTGTATCAGTTCCACATACTTCCATATTTGAATGGTGTTTGGTTTTCCCCCACTAAAACAATTTACCTCCTTTTTTTGGGGGGATGGCTGTCTTTACTAGGGTTACTTTTTTGGCTGTTGTTCAGATAGATACAAGTAAAGAACAGCATCTTGCCTTCAGCATATTCCTTTTAGAGATCAGCAGGTATGCAGTGCCTGGGATAGCTACAAGACTATTTTTTCAGTTTGATTCATACTGAGACAGAGGTGGGTGTTGAGTTTTTTTATAGCCACCAAGACCAGAACTATTGCCACCTCCTTGTGCCTGGGAGTAGAAATTCTGGCTAAACATCTCCAGCTCACCCATTAAAAAGCACAGGGAGTTTTCAGGCAGGATGGAAGTGAAGAAGTTGTTCTTTGTTCCACATCAACCTGTTTCAGGTGTTGAAATGTTTTACTAGGCAGTGGTCAGTCTAACTCAGTGCGGTTTCCCAACAGCTATCAGTGTCAAAGGACTGTGGTGGGTTGACTATGGCTGGACAACAGGTACCCCCCATGACTTGAGAAAGGAGAGAAAGTATAACAAAGGATTAATGAGCTAAGGTCAAGGAGAAATCAGTCACTGATTACTGTGATAGAAAACACAGATTTGACTTCAGGAAATTAGTTGCATTTATTACCAATTAAATTATAGAAGGATAATAAGAAATAAAATCTTAAAAAGATCCTCCACCCGACCCTCCTTTCTGCTTATGCTCTCCCTTCTCCCCTACAAGCTGGGCAGGGAGGCAAGGAGTGGGGGTTATGGTCTGTCCATCACACATTCTTCCTGCTGCTGCTCAGGGAGTGGAGTCCTTGCCCTGGGTCCTTCCCATCAATAAATGTTCTCCATGAACTTCTCCAAAGTGAGTTCTTCCCATGGGCTATAGCTCTTCACTAACTGCTCCAATGTGGGTCACTCTTCCTTGGGGTAAAATCCTTCAGGAACAGGCTGCTCAGCATGGGTCCCCCACAGAGTCACAAGTCCCAACAGGAAATCTGATTTAATGTGGGCTTCTGTCTCCATGGGCCCATAGGTCCCTGCCAAAAACCTACTCCAACACAGACTTCCCATTGGGTCACCAGGATCCTTTGGTCATCCACCTGCTTCAGCCTGGTCTCCTCCACAAGCTGTAGGTGGATCTCTGCATCCCCATGGACCTCCATAGGCTGTGGGGCACAGCTGCTTCACCATGGCTGCACCACAGGGGGGAATCTCAGCTCTTGTACCTCGAGAACCTCCTGACCCTCCTTCTGCACTGACCTTGGTGTCTGCAGAGCTCTCCCTCTCATATCTTCTTACTCCTCTCTTCTCTGTGCAATAATTTTTTTACCTGCTTCTTACAAATGTTATTCCAGAGGCACTACCACCATCTCTGATGGGCTTTGCTTTGTCCAGTGGTGGGTTCATCCTGGAGTCAGCTGGCACTAGTTCTGTCAGACATGGGGAAAGCCTCTGCAGCTTCTCACAGAAAGCCACCCCTGTAGTCCCCCTGCTTCCAAAACCTGGCCATGCAAACCCAACACAGGGGCTCAGAGAAGAAGTTGCAAAACTCAGGAAAACTTTTCCAGAGTAGAAGCACAGCTTCTTTAGCTGTTTTCTATGCATTACTGCTAATTTGATGTATTTTCACACCAATGTTGGATCTATTTAGGATTTATACGGACACTGTTAGATCCACATCCCCTAACCTTTGTGTTTTTAGTTTGTCATTAGATTTAAATATAAAACACCCTGAGTGCCAATTTAATTACATTGTATTATTGACCAGTTTTCTGGTAGTATCCTGTCTCTAACTGTTCAGTCTGGCTTCTGAAGGGAGCTACTTCTAAAGCTATAGTCCCGAGGGCAATGATTAGAAAGGAAAGACTAAAAAAAGGGTTTGTGCTGAAGGAGAAGTTAGTAGTCAGTACAGGCAGAGGAAACTTTGCATATTATCATGCAAATTTTGCCCAAGCTCTTGCATGCATAAAGAAGACCTCATGTACATACTCACAAATGCAAACTGAAAAACAAACCCCTTACTGAAGCAGGTATTTTAAACAGTCTCATAATAATTTAAATAATCTGTAGAGGGAGTCGGTCCTCATGAAGGTTAATCCAGGGTTTTTATTCTGGGCTGCATGGCCTCTGAGTGCAATAACAGCTCCACAAGAACCTCCCAGCGCATGGT